CTTCCGTAAGTTTCCCGTTGTGGATTACTTGGCATGCAGCATTGTCGTATAACTGTTGGATGAGGTGTATAATTGTCGATGGGACCCCGTAGTAGCGAAGTAGTTTCCAAATGACCTCTCGATCGACGCTGTCGAAGGCCTTTTCAAAGTCGATGAAGTTGAGATAGAGAGGTGACTGCCATTCCAAGCTTTGTTCAATGATGATCCGTAGAGTGGCGATTTGATCAATACATGATTTGTTTCTCCTGAATCCAGCCTGTTCCGGACGAAGTTTTTCATCTAGGGCTTGTTTGATTCTCTCCAGGATGATGCGACTTAGTATCTTGCTTGGAATGGACAGAAGCATAATTCCACGCCAGTTTTTACATTGACTTAAGTCTCCTTTCTTTGGAAGTTTGAATAAGTAACTGTTCTTCCAATCCTCGGGTACTTTGCCCTCTTTCCACACCTTCTCCAGTAGTGGTGTCATCAAGTCCGCTGTTGTCTCTGGGTCTATTTTCAAAGCCTCTGCTGGGATTCCATCTGGTCCCGGTGTTTTCCCAGTTTTAAGCATCTTGATTGCATTCAGGACTTCTGATTTCGTCGGGGGGTCAGTGTTCACTGGTAGTTCTGCTTCCGTTGTTGGTATTGCTGGACGTGTTGTAGGTGGCGGACGATTTAGAAGTCTTTTGAAGTGTTCAACCCAGTGCTTTCTCTGTTCCACCTCTTTGGTGATTGACTTTCCATTGTCGTCCTTTATTGGCTTAATCTGTGTCGAACGTTTGCCCGAAAGGTTCCTAGTTGTTTGGTAGAGTGTGGCGAGGTCTCCTTTGCCTGCAGCTTGTTCTGCTTCGTTTGCCATGGTTTCATAATATTTTCTTTTGTCTTCCCTGGCACTTTTCTTCACTCTTTTGTTCAGTGTATTGTAGCTTGCATTCAGCTCCTGTTTTTGTTGCTCGTCGTGCACTGGATAATCTTTTGCTTCACTGTCCTTCTCTCTTCTATTAGTTTCCAAGTGTCCGTAGTGAGCCACTGTTTGTCCTGTCTCTTTTTTCTGCCTAGAATTTCTATGCAGGTTTGGCTCCACACCGTTTTCAAGTTGTTCCAGTGCTTTTCAACGCCGACCTCTTCGCTAGTGTTGATTTGTGTCTCGGCTTTGTCCTTTATGCTTGCAATGAAGATGTCCTTTGTAGCCTGGTCCTTCAGCTTTTGAGTGTTGAACTTGGCTTGTGGTCTATCTGCAGCTCCTCCTTCTTGAAAGCTTTTAATTTGATTTGGATTGTCCCTTGTACGAGATAGTGGTCTGAGCCAACGTCTGCTCCTCTTCTTGCTTTTGTGTCCAGTAGGCTGCGCCTCCACTTCCTTGAGATTGAGATGAAGTCGATTTGGTTTTTGGTTTGCCCGTCTGGTGACACCCATGTAGCCTTGTGGATATCTTTGTGCTTGTATACACTGCCACCAATCACCAGTTCGTTGAAGGCGCAGAAGTCGGCGAAGAGTTCTCCGTTTTCATTCATTTCTCCTAGAGCTTCTCTACCCATGATGAGTTCCCTTCCCGTATTGTCTGGTCCCAGTTTGGCGTTCATGTCTCCCATTAGTATTTTCATGTCGCCAACTGGAGTATTGTCCATTGATTTTAAAATCTTATAAAATTTATGAGGTACTTAGATGCAATATATTGTGATGCACGCTGAAAACTCCATACCCGTACCACAAATGTTGTTTGGAATAAAGCTGTTATTATTATTACTACATTCAATAACTTCCCTATCGACGATTATAAAGCAAGTATTCCTCACTCAATTACGTTTATGTGAATTTGACTCCTGAGAAAATAATTCCAAACCTTATGTATAAAATTTAAGATACACGTCATTAAAATCACTGAGCCACATATCGCATACATCCTGAGAAAAAGAAATAAGGAAACTCCCCTGAAGAAATTTCTCTAATCCCTAAAAGTTGGTGCATATAGAAATTTTTACAGGTAAGTTCCAGGCATAGATAGTCTCAGTCGTTCGAAGACCCAGTATAAAATACCATAAATTCACATGTTCAGAAACTTCCTGTCATTTACTTGTATAACTCAGCTATACCAATAACACATCAACTAAGCTGATTACAGATTTGTTTAAACACACGAAATCATTGAGGCGACATTTATGAATGCCCTTCAAAATTTCATGTCATTCAAAGTTTAGGATCTGTCGAAATCTATGCTTCGTATAATTCTACTTTTAAAATTAACCAGTCAGACAAAATACTTGAGGCCCACTAAAGGAAACCATCAAGAGTTTTGTTTATGTATAAAAGATATATAGATGATACCTTCAATGTCTGTGAGGAAAACTCTTCATCTGCGGAACTTCTTGGAATATTTAATGGTTCTCACCCATCTTTGCTTTTCACGGTTGAAGCAGAGTCGAATTCCTCGTTTCTCTTCCTTGACGTTACGCTAGATAGAAGAGAGAACGGCACGCTGTTAGGGTCGATTTACCGAAAGCCAACATTCACAGGGCAGTACACTAACTTTTTAACAGTTGGGTATCTTTAGGGAGAAAGAGAAATCTTATTCATTCCTTATGCTTCAGAATTCGTAAAATCTACTCTATAGAGACGATCAATAGAGAACTAGATAACCTTCGATCAAATCTCCTCAACAATGGATATCCTACAACGTTTATTGAACGTAACATTAAGAAAGAATCCGCCGCTAAGACAAATCACAGTGCCAAAGAAAAAGCTGTTTATGAGTCTTGCATTCAAAGGTGACACCATTTCGGAATTGATTAAAAATCGTTTATTTAAATGTATTAAACGCACTTTTCCTGCAGCTGACCTGCAACTAGTTTTTACCAGCCGAAATATGAATAGACAATGTGTCGAGGATAGATTACCGCTTTTGTCCACATCTATGTGCATTTACGCTCTTGTGGAGCTGTTTATATTGGACATTGTAGGCGTACTCTTCGAAAACGTGTAGCTGAACACTATCTGGTTTGGTCAATGAAAGGCGAACATAGAACGGCGAAGTCGTCTATTTGTGATCACCTGTTAGAGTCTGGTCATTCATCCAACCACACGTGATTCATCCTTCAAGGTTTTCCACATGGCATAATCGAATCGCTCCAAAAGTTTACGTTTTCTTCACTTATGCATAGTCGAAGCTTTAACTTTATATACATGAACAGAAACCTAAATTATGTGTTCAAAAGCGTTTTGTCAAACCCCTTTCTTTACCTTGGTCATAGTAATTAATGTTCTTTCCAGTTTTTATTGTATTTTATTTTACCACTTGAATTCATTCCACTTCACTTCACATCTTCATTCTTATCGTAATCGTACTCCTAATTTTCAAAATATTTAGACAACACTTGACATTTTTGTTATAAAACAATCTTTAATATTTTTGTAATTCATCCACTTCAACTCTACCCCTTATAACTTTTATCACATATATATACGTACATTGACTGAGCAATTATTTAGTCCCACTTAATAACCTTTTTCTATAATATAAATACGACTGTACAGTTGGCTTGAAAATGAAGTCGTTGAAAAGAAATCTCTTCGCTGAACAAAAAAAATGTCACAGTGTTAAATTACATTTATATATTTATAAGTATTTACTAGATGTCTTAGTGACGAAGAACGAAACTTGTTGGTTAAATTCATTGAAAACTTAAAATGTCAAAGTGTAGTGAAAATTCTCAGAAAAATGTTGCACGAATTTACACCCTAATGGAGTTTAGTTAATTTTAGATGGAAAATATTATAACTTTGAAGGAGAGAAATGAATTAAGTTAAGAAGAGAACACATTGTGAAAGATGATATGGAGTTAGGTATACCATCTCAAAGACTACAAGAACTGCTACTTGGTTTTATGTTGAATGCTTAGTTTCAGTTTAACAAATAATTTTACCGTCAAGTGAAGATCTTAGCAGTCAGATCTCAATGGATTTATTCCCCCACTTTATGAATTTTAATAAAGTGGTGGTTTGTGCAGAATATAAGATGGTATCATCAATGTTTCTTTTTTTTGTTGGATTCTCATCAGCTGCTTATGGCTTGCATATTTTACATGATATCAGTTGACAGGATGTTCTGGACTTGATGAATGGTGCTCAGGAGATTACACTTATAGTGTTCACACGATGAGTTTAAGGTTTAAACAATGTGAATGTATGAATGCAATTGTAGAGGAATTATGTATTAAAGACATGAAGTCGTAAGATGATGAGTGACTAATACATTAGGTGAAAATGTACTGAGATTAACTCAAATCATGGAAACAAGGGACCCGGCGAAATTACACTTTATGTAAGTGTGTTTATACGTTGGGTGGTGTTAAAGCCGAAGATTTCGCATCAAATGAGAGAGAGAGAGGCAGTGAACAGATCCAGTTTCCATACTGAGCAAAATAAAACTGATACCAACTGCTTCTTTCTGAACACACGAATTTGGTGTAGGGTATTTGATAGAGATTGATTTGGCAAACTTGAAGAGAATGGAGCTTATTTTGTCTATTGGTGATTTTAAAGAATTTCTTGACTTCCTATTGCATGTGTTGGGTGTAGACTCGATGAACAAGGATTCAGTAATCAACCTCTGTCTCCATCTACCTAGATTACTTTTTAGAATTTTAACCCTCTCCCACCCTATTGTGTGGTTGTGTGTTATCTCATGCATTGCAATTGCTGAGCTTTTTTCTAAATTACTTATCTTCTCGGGGTCAACCATTCTTACCTTAGCTAAATTCTTATGTTCTGATAATCTGATTACCCCTGGGCTACTAGTTTGACCTATGTAGTTGACCTCACAATCATTGCATGGTATTTTGTAAATTGTATTAGTTTGTCTAATTAGGCCAACAGGGTCCTTTACCCTACAGAGCTTGTCCCTGAGTGAGTTTGTAGGTTTAAATGCCACCCTAATTCCTGCTTTATTCAGAATCCTAGGTTGGGTCTTGGATATTCCCTCCTTATGTGGTATAACTGTGGTCATCCAAAGGGAAGCTTTAATTTCTTGATTTCCACCTTATGACTCATATGGAACGCTTGAAACCAGATAGATACATGTGTTTATTTCTCAGTCTTTCCTTACTCTATATGGTGACTGAATGTTTTCACTGTCTCTCTCTCCCTCTCTCTATCATTCGATTACGTAATCTTCGGCTTTAATATCGCCCGCCCACACACACACACACTTTGGTATAGTGTAATGTTTCTTGTCTCCTGTTTCCATGATTTGAGTTGAACTCGATACATTTTCACCCAGTGTATTAGTCACTCATTATCTCACGCACCTCTCGGCTTTATTAAGTATTTCCTTTACCATTGTATGCATACATCTGCTTTGTTTTGACTTGAGCAGCCTGTGAAATAAAACTATGGAAGCCCACAATTGATGAGTGAATACTCGACAGTAAGCATTTCACAACAGATAACATTCCAACCAAAAATTGATTTTCTCATTTTGTTATATTTACACATAAACTCAACGCTACTATAGAAAATAAATGGGGTTGAAAATTGTCAGTTTATTAAGTTAAGTTGATGAATCTGAAAATATGCACATGTATGAATCATAAACGGCGGGGTGGGGGTGGGGTGGGGGGAGAAATGAATGAGAATTGGGAATACAATTCATTTGTTGGACGTTGGAAGATTTCTTTATCAATCGTGTTCCTTCACCAGTTTCGTGTCCGCATTAATCTTGAAAGTCTCATAGACTTTAATGAACTTTGAGTTTTACTGATAGGGTTTTGGCTCTGTGTAACGTTGACACAAGTGAAGTGAATTTTGGTTATTATTATTATTGTTTAACATAGAGAGGTTGTAAATAGTTTGTGAATGAGCACATTTTTAAAGAAAGTTATCGCTGGAATCTGTGATGCTGAGAAGAGAATTCAATTCAGAAAGTATGCTGGGTGTTAAGTTCGGGTATATCTGAAAAGGAGAGAAAACGTTGAAACATTAATAGATGTTTGGCGTGTACTACTGTGATAAGATTTCTCTGTAGTATGGATACAAAGAGACATTCATCGACATAAAATAACATCAAATAGCAGGGAGATAGATTTAATGTCTGTCAGTCGGAGAAGGCGAATGATTTAACATTGTGATGATACATGGAATATGTGAAAGGCACACATAGAAACATAAAATGAAGCAGAGGGAGATGTAACACAATACAGATGATTTTTTTATTTATTTACAGCTTGATTCCACACTGTATTTTCGGTACAAGTATGGAATTTTCAGCAGGGATATCGGTAGCCCAAATTTTGCAGGCCGACCATAGATATCAGGTGTGCGTTGGTGCGGGCTCGAACCCCGGACCATGTGCATGGTCGGCGAGAGTCCTAACCACTGTGCCACCGACGCACGATCTGTGAACATAGTGCGCTGAAGATAAAGATAGCTACATCAAACTCTAAATTAGCATTTCTTATTTAGTCTCTTGAGATCTACGGTTACAAATGCACCTATAAAGATTTGTATGGAATCTGTTTAGAGTTGAACTAAACAGACTTTGAATTGAAAATTATCGTCGTCAGATTTGAAATTTCTTGCTGTACAAGTAAAGTTCAGCTGGATACATTCTGAATGCTGCTTTTGCCACCAGCTGTTACAGCTTATAACAACTAACCAGAGAATAGTGATGTATGCAAGCTACTTGAGATTGAGAATAAGAAGTCAATTTCTCCACTAGTGTAATCAGACATCTTACTGAATGAACAGTGGGGAGAGCATGCCACGGCATTATTTCAAATTCTCAAATGTGTGCAGTAGGACGTGAAATACACAATGAAATATTTGTGTGACACGTGGTTTAATGTTCGCGATCTATCGCTAACGAAGAATGCTAATTATCCTATCAGAGGTAGTATTTTAATTTCAGGGACATCTGAGATAAAATCTGCTTGAATCTATTGGTCTAGAGTTACAGGGAACTTTATATTCCTAACTGATTGTTATTAAATTAGTGAAGAATTTACATACGTTTTACTAAGAAGGTGGGGATTCATACCACTAGGCAGTTTTCACACAGAGGGGAAAGATTTTGAGAAGACTCCTGGCTGACTCTTGACCATTGCCTAACACTTCAACTGAGTAGTCTTCGTCGTCAGAATTCATCAGACGTAGAGAAGACACAGGTGATTGAGTTACCTGAACAACAACAACGATAGGTGCCAGTCCCTATCAGCGTGATAAATCGTAAGGGAACATCATTTCAACTACAGGTGTCATTTATGATGATGTCAAAGCCAGGAGAAGTGAGGCAGACCTTTGTCAATCTGAATTCAGTCTGGATACCTGCTGAATTCAGATTCGTATTTTCAACAGTAATGCCAAGTCAGTGCTACTATATAGTTCACAGACTTTGCGCGCGATACACCAAAAGTATTTCAAAAAGGTTCCAGACTCTATAAGCAGCTGTCTTTGCTTCAAACTGTATATAAGATGGCTGAACCTATGCACTACTGATTGACTCTGATGAGCATTTGCATACTACTCATCCTAACTAATCAGTAGTATATAAATTTATGCAAATGTTCTTGTTTTCTTGATTACCGTTTATGGTATCAAACAGATCACATACTATGATATCAGAAATCTCACTTTCTAAAAGAAACTAAGCCGAAATTTTACCACTCGAACTGTGCAAATGGAAATTGTGAATTTGATCAGAGCAGTTGTTGGAAAAGATAGGAGGCAAAGATTTCTTGAACTCAGAGTACTAAACGAGAACCTATCACTCAACAAATATATATTGAAGGAAATGTAGGTAGATCGGATACACGTCGACGAGACCGGTTAGTGACATTTCACACCAGAGAATCACTCGATTTGAACCTGAATGGGAAATGACGAATTATAAGTCCGAGAGTGACAATACAAAATCATTGAAGAGGAGATCAGAGTTAACCGGCAATCATAGAGCCGACTAAATTCGACTGTAGAGAACGGAGTAAAATAACGATGTGCTATTGAAGCACAATGTTCCACTCATAACCTAAGGGAATAATAACAATAATAATAATAATGTAACTAAATCCCTAGTATAAATGACTAGGCTTTTAGATTTTATTTCTTACCAAGATCGACATTATGTTCTCCTGCAATTGATCAACTGTTGCCGCTCCAATTACAACACTGCTAACATGTGGACAGCGAAGGCACCAAGCTGAATAAAGAAAAGAAACAGTGGATGAAGAAAAATAGCTGTGTCAGTAGAAGGAAGTTGAAATTCATTTATACACACACACACGTACATGAATTTGCCGTGTATAGGAGACACATTAGCTGAATTGCTGACATCGAAACCTCGATAGATAATGGCTAAGACATTCTCTACTGCAACATTGTGTTTGAAATTCACAACTCCTTGTATAATTCCAATACAAATGAAGGATAAGCGGTTGAGTCAGGTCAATTCAACTGTTCATGTGATGAAGACAGTTACCTAGGTAGAATGACTCGGCACATCTTCGGTTACTGAACACAGCTGAGGTAGTTGTCATAATGAAAACGTTTGTTCAATCTCTCTCCCTCCCTTGATCGTCGTCACCATCTGTAAGTAGTTATCTCTTCCGATGACATCAGATAACTGTAAACATTATCTTACTATATTTTTTCATTACTTTATTTGTAATGCAAAGTTTATTATCAATGTCATGATGGGTTGTGCTGCAGTTGTATATTGTATTCTCGGTTTCACAATTTATTATTCTATATATTATAAAATGGCTATGTAACCATACTTATTTTCCCCTTTTATCGCTAATAGTATACACATACCACCTATACACTTACCGTTGCCTAGATTATATAAACACTTAAATAAATTTATTCCTATTAGTGTTATCATTATGATCATGTCGATTGTTATCCGCTGATTCACATTTCTGAACTCTGATTATCTATTTTGCTAGCCACATTAATTCAAATGCCTATGACCACTAATATTTCCTTATGTAAACGTTTCTGATTATTGATTATAGCTTGATTCCACACAGTACTTTGATACAAGTATGGATGGAATTTCCAGCATGTGATACTACTAGTCCAAATTTAGCAAGCCGACTATTGATATCAGGTGTGAGTGGCTCGGGATCGAACCCTAGACCATGTGTATAGTCGGCTAGCGTCCTAACTGTTGTGCAACCTTATGAGAATTCATATTAAATTCATATTTGCATGATTCAGTAAAGTATACAACGATGACTGTCTGATACTACTTAATCCACCGGAATAAAGGTGGTTTGGAACACAATGTCTCTAACAGACAAGGTGTTATGCGTTCGCTTGCTTTGCTTGTGACGCTAAAGACTCGCCTAGCGACTCTATAAGACTACATTTTCATTGAAGTTCAGTGTTCATGTAGTCTAATATGGCACGCAATTTAAAAAAAAGCAAATTTGAATAATTGCAACAACTTTGCTTGTAAACGTAACTGATTTTTTAAAGTAAGAACTAACAGTTTATCAACACTATTATCAACTTTCAGGATTTCATCATAAGCTGACATTAGTTAGAGAACCATTGGAAAACCCACCTGGGAGTACTGGACATCTGTTTCGTCCTAATTTGGGACTCTTCAGCGTGGGCTCGGTGGGTGCGTACTGATGAAGAGTCCCAAACTAGGACGAAACAGCTGTCCAGTACTCCCAGGTGGGTTTTCCAATGGTTCTCTAACTAATGTCAGCTCATGATGAAATCCTGAAACCAATCAAATCCCTACAAATCAACACTTAAATACTATTATCAACTACTTACTTAAAATTGAATTAAGTAATAATTAATATAAGCCGTTGCACAAGAGGCGGTGGCTATTGTGGTCCAAGTGGTCTAGTGGATAACGCTTTAGCGTGTGAAACTATGGCCACCAGAGTTCAAGCCTCGGTGAGAACATCATCAATCACTGTGGAATGAATGCATGTACATCCATTCAGTGACGAGTTCCAAATGGATGGTCCATCCTCCAATTAACATCGTCAACTGCGTTCAAAACGAATGTTACACATGATGTTGTACAGTGACAGATAAGAAATGAAATACCCAAAATTTAGGAGATTTTACTCTCCTAACCCAGATGGTTTAGTGGATAACGCAGTCAGGACAACATCATTCGCTGGGGAGTACAAGTACATGTAGTTAAAGTGTCCCAAATAGGAGCAAAATGCGCATTCTGGATTCCACTGGTAATCATCATCCAACAAATGTTTACTCTGATTGATTATTTCGACAAAAAAAAACAAATAAATGTGTCTATTTTGTGGAGGTGTAGTTTGTGTTGACCCTTTCCTCATACATAGGAATTTTGTAAAGAACTAGAAGATATTGTTAAAGATATTGTTTTTTAAAAACGTCATTGGTTGCTGGTTTGGTGAAGATGTCTGTGTATAGAATACACTACTAACTTGGTCTGTTTTTCATACTCATCAAGAAAGTCGTCCCAGTCAGTTGACACGCTTCAACACAACAGCGTCTCTATAGTCATTTGAACACCACTTGACTTCTTCATATGTGTCCCACCTATCACCCATTTAACTCTTCGTAATCTGCGAATTTTCGGATAAGAAATGCACTTTAAGAAATAACACCAGTCTGCAGCTAGTTTTTATCCAAGTATTGCTATTACTCCTAAATCCACGTTTCACTACAGTTGTGTTGTGTCATTGAGATTTCTTTATATCGTCCGTGCTGTTTCAAAGTGTAATAACTTAAACTCGTATATATATTTTTATATAGGTGGCTTCATTTTGTTGAAAATACAGTCAGCGAGCAGGCATATCTGTAATTTCGAAAGAATTCATATCCCTTCTGCGATTCGAACCCGTGTCACCCAGTGTCGCCTGCTGTGAGAGACTTTAGCACTGGGGTATCCTGACGCGCGATTGACCTCTAGTCCAATCAAAGAGCATCTCTTATATTCCTATAGGGGGTTATTCGCTAGCCCAAAGAGCTCGTTGGTAGCGTCTGTGACTGCAGCAATGTTTGACACGGGCTCGAATCTCAGAAGGAACATGACTTCCTTCAAACTTGCAGATACGCCTGTCTTTTTGGCTGGTGAGTGCCAACTAACACGAAACCTAGGTTCCGGAAAGGCTTCCTACCGATCTCCTCCAACCACCTGATGAAAACCTTATTTTCAAGTATTGGTTTTTTTAGGGATTTTGTTTGATTCCATGGAGGATTTAATCATGAGCTGACATCATCTGATGCTCACTAGTGACTGGCCTTATTCAGGCAGTTAACCTGGGGTTCTAGTGGGAAGCCGTGACCAGCAGGGTACAGCAGGTCGAAGATGAGGCAGTAACTCATCAAAGCAGAAGACATTGCGAAGTGGTCGCGCTATGTCGTGAACTGGCAGAAGTTAGAATTCAAGGACCATTGGATCGTGTCCAGTGGCTCAATGGTCTACGAGCTCGCCTTGTAACCAGAAGGCTCTGGGTTCGAACCCTGGTGGTGGGTGCGTACTGATGAGGAGTCCCAAACTAGGACGAAACATCTGTCCAGTACTCCAAGGTTTTCCAGTGGTTCTCTAATTGATGTCAGCTCATGATTAAATCCTCTATGAAAACCTCATTCACTTAACGGAAAACGCATCCATCATCGGATAGCCAATACTCACACATATACCTCATATATGATATAACAACAGAAGATGAAATTATGTGCAGCTTATCTTCGGAGCACCATTTGCAGAAATCTTCCATGTTGTGCCACTTCTCCCCTTCCTTGGTATTGTGTTTCTGAACCCTTTAATTTCTCTGATATCAAATCTATCACCCTGCTATTTGATGTCTGCTTATGCTGATGAACATCTCCCTATACATATACACATACTACTGATAAATCGTTTCATAGTAGCACACACACACCACAATAACACACAAAAAAATTCAAGATAAGAATAACTTACCAATAGCCAGTTGTGCACAGGTACATTCAATTCGACTGGCTATTTTACACAGTTGTTTAACTTGTTCCTTTTGTGTTAAACCCTCTGTACTGAGAAGTTTATCTCGCATATGCTGTTGACCCTTTGACAAGATTAGGTAAATGAAGATTTGAGAAATAAATAGTAATGAAATAAAGGGTGCATAGATGATTTATATAATATTTAAACACAGTACATTTTTGTTTCGTTTATTTAGTTAACCAGTGATCAATTTATTTTCCTTTCATTAGGTGAAGTAAATAATTCCGGGTGCTTGTGGAAAATGACTTCAAGGATCTGACTGCAAATGGTAAAATATGTTGTCATAATGCTCACTAGAACAACACGTATAAGCGAACAATACTGTTCTTTTCAATTAGATCTTTATCAGGCTTTACACTAATTTACATAGATTTATTTATGAACATTTTAACCAATGACGGTGATTTTTTGTATCAAATCATAATAATAATGTGGTAAGTGTGTTTTGATCGTTATTAATAACGATGATCATAATGATAACAGAAATAATGATAATAAGGATTATGCACATAGCGATAAGAATAACAAAGGTAGTGAGTGATATGTGTTTATGTAAACAATTCAATAAATAAATAAATTAGGTCAAATCTCAAACAGTGAAGTGGATAGATAACCAGAGTTTTAAATAAATATCATAAGAGTACGAAGGTAATTGAAAATAAGGAAGGATGGGAGGGTTGTGAATGGAATTCACTTGCCACAAGGGAGAGAAAAAGGTAGAGCAAACTTATTTTGTATGCAAAGACTAGGACTGTTCTCTCTAAGTAATTCCCATAACTTCGGCTGTGTGTAAAAGGCGGAATCGAATTCCGTTCGAGAGGTTCGATGGAATGCGATAGATAACTTTGAAGGCACTTCTTCTATATATGCGTCGGTGGCACAGTGGTTAGGTCTCTCGCCAACCATGCACATGGTCTGACGTTCAATCCCCTGCCGACGCACACCTGATATCAATGATCGGCCTGCAAAATTTGGGCTACCGATATCCCTGCTGAAAATTCCATACTTGTACCGAAAATACAGTGTGGAATCAAGCTGTAAATAAAAAATTTAAAAAAATGGTGACCGTTATCAATCAACTAAGGCGAAATAGAACTTCATATGGATTTTATTTGACCTTTTCCGAACCATGAAAATGAAGGAAGATGCTCATTAATACGTTTATTGAACTGTCTAGTTGTTCGCTTACGAAGACACATGTAAATTTGTTTACACAGTTGGAGTTAACATGAGAAGGGTATCTGTCGACTTCTAATTGCACCATAGAGAATATTGTTCAACAGACGGGAACCAACTCAGCCAGCTGCATAATAGGCTCTGGACAATGAAGTAGTCAGCCTCCTATCGATCATTTCTGAAATACCATCAAGCTTAAAATCGAGTTCAGTAAAGACAGGCTTCTCTCCCACTGTGATTTGTTTGGCAATAGGGCCTTCACATCTTCCGTCGGTGCGTCGGTGGCACAGTGGCTAGGACTCTCGCCGACCATGCACATGGTCCGAGGTTCGAGCCCTCGCCGACGCACACCTGATATCTATGGTCTGCCTGCGAAATTTGGGCTACCGATATCCCTGCTAAAAATTCCATACTTGTACCAAAAATACAGTGTGGAATCAAGATGTATTCAAAAATAAGAAAAAAATAAAAAATAATGATCCTCTGAGGGTAACCGTTGTTTCTCAACACATATCCGAAAATGGGAAGTTCTTTCTCTAATTTCTCCGTAGAGCATATTCTCCCCAATGACTCTATAGTATAGAGTCTTTACAAGTGCTCGTTTATAGCTATTTGAACAAAAACTATTAAAATGCAAATAGTGTCCATTCTATGTCGGCTTTTTATAAACTGACTTCTGGAGAACACTAACTTCTAGGCGTTTCACGGCAATATCCATCATTTTCATGTTTAACGGTAAATTCAATATTTGTATGTACCTGGAATAATGAATAATCCGAGTAGGTACGAAGCATGACTTCCATTTTTGCACATTACAAATCTGTCATCTGTGACACATTGGCAATCTGAAGTTGTTTTCAAGTGTTGGTTTGTAGGGATTTGATTGATTTCAGGATTTCATCATGAGCTGACATTAGTTAGAGAACCATTGGAAAACCTGGGAGTACTGGACAGCTGTTTCGTCCTAGTTTGGGACTCTTCAGCAGTACGTACCCGCCGGGATTCGAACCCAGGACCTTCCGGTTACAAGGCGAGCTCGTATACCATTAAGCCACTAGGACCCGATCCAATGGTCCTTGAATTCTAACTTCTGCCAATTCACGACATAGCGCGACCGCTAGCCAATGTTCCAGTGGGATGTCGTGACCAGTAGGGTGCAGCTGGTCGGGTGTGAGGACAAATACTCGCCACCGAAGACATTGGCTAGCGGTCGCGCTATGTCGTGAATTGGCAGAAGTTAGAATTCAAGGACCATTGGATCGGGTCCCAGTGGCTTAATGGTATACGAGCTCGCCTTGTAACCGGAAGGTCCTGGGTTCGAATCCCGGTGGGTGCGTACTGCTGAAGAGTCCCAAACTAGGACGAAACAGCTGTCCAGTACTCCCAGGTTTTCCAATGGTTCTCTAACTAATGTCAGCTCATGATGAAATCCTGAAGTTGTTTTGTTGGTTGCACGCTGTAGCTTCGTTTTCTCAGGGTTGGACAGGAAGATATCTGCTAGAACAGGGCAAAGGGGACTCCTCATAGCTACGTCATTTATTCGGCGGCAATGAGTGTTGTCAAACTGGAATGGTATATATCCATGCTACACGTTAGCAGTCAGCATTTGAAATGCGTATTACAAAATCACATACTGAGTCAAAAGAATGTTTAATTTCAGAAAATGCCGACTGAGCCTCTATTCTTTGATGATGTTGTCGTTAGTTTGTATAGAGTATGTTGGATAAAGCTCGTCAATTTCATTCAAGACCTAGAACGGAAAACTCTGTCGAAATCCCTGACAAAGGAGAAGTTGTATGATATCTTTCAAGAATATCCTGAAAACTTTACCTATAATCTATCGAGTTTAAAGCTAAATAGCATTGAAATGGAAGCACGTTTCCTCGGAATTAACTTTCATATTCCAAATAAATTTGTCAAAGCAACCGATGTCACACTTCAACGAAATAAGCAATAATGGTACCGTCTTATTCTACACAAACCAATATTGCCCTCGTTTTATTTAAATTCCTCAAGAAATAGTTAAAATATGAGCAACCACCTATTTCTTCGTGTTGTGACCGTAGTAATTTTACTTTTTCTTAAATTTTCAACTGGTGGAGTTAGCTGTATAACCTCTTCTACAATCAATTCAGAATTGTCCTACAAACTGTTTTCAATGTAGCTGCCTATACTGCGCTCGATTGTAAACTAATTTAAATTGTCATGGAAATAAAGGAGTGTTTCAGATCAACTTTTATTTCAAGTGATGGTTTGTAGGGATTTGATTGGTTTCAGGATTTCATCATGAGCTGACATTAGTTAGAGAACCATTGGAAAACCTGGGAGTACTGGACAGCTGTTGGCAGAAGTTAGAATTCAAGGACCATTGGATCGGGTCCCAGTGGCTTAATGTTATAGGAGGTCGCCTTGTAACTGGGAGGTCCTGGGTTCGAATCCGGTGGGTGCGTGCAACTTTTATTTATTATTTATTATATCCCTTTGTATTCCCAGTGGAATATCGGGCTTCAAGTTAGATTATCGAGGTCTCGGTAGAAGTGGTGTTTATTTTCCCATGATGGGGTCGCCAGCCTCATGCCCATCCATCCGTGTTTATCTAGCTTACTACCTGCCACTGAACCACCGACTTAGGCCAGGGTTAAGTTTATTTGACTTCCTAATGATACCTACTATCAGACTGATCCGTAGAAGTACGATCACTTCAATTCAGCTAAGAAATTAAAAAGCGCGACATCAAATATAACATCTGTGTTCCAAAATAACCATCAGTAGATTTATGTCAGCTCAACGAAATCCGCTAAATGTAATACTTCTTTTCTCTCTCTCTCTCTCTTTAATTAATTTCAGTGTCTGTAACTGTTACACAAATATTTTTTTAAATGTACGTTTCGTGTAAGCTCATTTATTCCATATTGAAAGAAAATGATTTACAATTTTTTTTTTCACATCTGGTAAATCTTTGCTACAATTTGATGCATACATCTGTTGAACTAATGAAGTTCCATTTCAACTTTGACCATGAACTAACTTCATTTAGGCAGTTATTTAAAAGAAGGGTGTAATGGACTCTCCAGTTGTACGGATACACACACGTGACTGCCGGACACTGGACTTAGGAGTCCAAAATTATGAGTTTAGCCCATTGAGCTTTCAGCCATTGTTGTCAGAATCGAATGGTCCATGCATGAATACTCAATTTTACCAATTAACAAGACATACAATTTACTTTATTATTTCCGTCATCGATACAAAAGCCTAAGTTTATGGTAGGTGAAGATGATGTGTTCGTCAGTGAAATGAGAATATCTTGAAGTGCTTCATCATTTTGATGAAGAATAATTTATTTGTGGATGAAAGTGAAACAGGTGAAACATTACAAATTTATTTCAAATGTAATCATGAAGTGATATTGTGGTGAGAGCAGGCTGCTAGCCGATTGGTTGACACTAATCTACGTTAATGTCTAGGTCACTAATATGGGCCGTGAGAAAATATGAACAAGGTTGTTTCAACAACCAATCACAGCAAACTTAAACGTGGACAAATATGATTCGCAGATAGATGGCTCTACTTTCCGAGAAATATCGAAAACAACCAATCATAAGACTGTGTTTGTCTGCTTAACTTCCGAGAAACAACCAATCAGAAGACTGCCTTTTTCTGCTTGCATAAGCCTTATTAATGTACATAAATATATATATATATATATATAAATACGCGTTGATTTTCGTAATAAAACGATCTGTTGCCAGCCCTTGTCTTCTGTTGTTACAATATCAGTTAGAGAACTATAGGAATACCAACAGGGGGTACTGTGCAGCTGTTGTGACTTAGTTTTGAGAACACTTGAACAGTACACAACAACCACAGCCAGTGTCTGAACCCAGGGACTCCCGGTTACAAGGCCAGCTAATAGATCGTTCAACTAACGGTTCTCTAAATGTCTTAAAATCGTGATCAAAGCTGAAGTGAATCAAATCCCTACAAACTAAATCCTGGAAATTATAAACTTGAAGAAATATTTAAAAAGTTGTATAAATCTCATTTTCTTTCAGCAAGTATCACCTATAACTAAGAAAATCAATGAGTCGTAAGGGATCAAATTTACTTTGATAAAGTGCCAAAGTGTCACACAGTAAATATTTGCTGACGACCACGTTTCTTAATAGCTGACGCTTTTAATTCTGTTATTATTTCATATCAGTCTGCAGGATTAACACTATACAGATATTTTAACTTCTTTGAGTGGTAGTTAATCTTTGTATTCTTCAATTATTATTACTCCCTTGGGTTCCAAGTGGAACATAGGGATTCAACAACACATATCCACTGTATTCTAACTTCTGCTGTCCTCCTCAGGTGGCTAACCCCACGAATGCCAATAATCTTTCATCTCCCCCATGTCAACCTTGGACGCGCATACAACTCGTCACTTCCCATTGGTATTTCAAATGAACAGTGGCCTGCATTACTTGTGATATCATTCGATGGCTTCCTCAGGGTTTATGCTCAATCCGTCTCCAATTTTTTCTGCATAATTGTTAAGCGATCGGCTATCGCTTATCGATTTGTTCCTAATTAGAGTTTCTTCTTTTAAATGCATTTTGGCCGGTTATTTGATCTGCAATATGAAGTCAGCACAAGATGAGCAGCCGTTGACAAATGTCTGCAGCTGGCTGTTGGAAAGCGTTTTGGTGAAGTTCTGTCTAAGTTTCTGACACATATAGAACAACCGACTGTCTGACTGACTGACTGACTGACATGTTATTGGTGTTGAAAGTGTGATTCTTTTTGTTTATGCCATGGTGTTGAGAAGATTTACAAACTTGTTTCAGGTTGATGGCGGGGGGGGTTCCTCACCTTTTCGATTCTCACTGTCTCGCTTTGACACCTTCATCCGTTCTGCCTGTAGTTGAAATGTACTTTCCTAGTCAGATAAGTGAAGGAAGCGACCTCTTTCAAATCTCTCCCGTAGACCCGTTGACGGTGATTAGTGATGGTTGTTATTATCATCAGTTGATTGTCTTCATCACTTCCGTCTTCTCTATGTTCACCTGGATGGAGTTCTGCCTTAGACTATTCTTGTCTTCTCACTCTTCATGTACAGCGAACCGCGAAATTCAATGTCTATCACAATTAAGAATAACACCGGTGATAATATTCAGTCAGCCAGATTTGTTTTACTCCGGTATTCACTTAGATATATTCTTCAGTATGCAACCAACATTGCGGTAGATTAACTATTATTAAACTTAAAAACTCACTTTTAATGTAGCTCTTGAAAAATTCGGAATAATGTCGATGTATTTTCCAGTCAGAATTCCACCGGCGAGTGGAGATCCAGTCATAATACCAATATCTGAAATATGAAGAAATAAAGATAATCTTATATCATTGTTATTTTACTATATGCACGCACACACTATGTATAAACAATAAGTCTTTCAAGCACTGCCTCTTCATTCGGCATACTGCCAGGATTCATACTTTCATATAAGATGATATGAATGGAATACTTTGTAAGAGGCTCTTAATGACCAACATGCCTCTATTTTCGATGATGAGTAGTGAACTATGTCTGCAACCTTCAATGAAAGGCATATTTCCTGACAGATTGGAAACTGAATAAATCACTTTTGAAAATGAATATGTAGTTGCCAGTTGAAGAGACCTCATGGACTGTCTGTCATCTTACTTCAGTCAAAGTGTCTGCAGTGTTAGCTTATTTCCTTAAAGAATACACACCATGCGAATAGCTGACACTGTGGCGTCAAAATAGTCAACTTCAGTGTCACTTAATCATTCAATCGCTAACACATTCTGAAGGTGTTCACCGTATTGCGAACATCCTGATATATAAGTGGACATAAGTGAATAAGCGTGTTGAAGAATGACTGTTCTTCATAGTTTATGCGGAAATCACTTTTTTCTTTTTATACATAGATAAATATAATATACTATACAGATAATTTTATCAATATTTTTGATTGGACATTAGTCACTAACTAGTGTAATGTGTGTATGAGTGTAAAGTCCTATCTTTGGTGCAGACTGAATTCTATCAGTCAGTAAAGTTGTCAATGTGGCCAACGGGCTAGATGGCTCGCTATCACGATACACTGTGTATTGTTGATATCAGAGAGTTGGAAGTAATCGGCAGGAAGTTAGCTAGGTTTAGTGTTAGATGGCAATCACCAGTCAGTAAGGCAGGCGTATCTGCAACATTGAAGGAACTCATATTCTGTGTGAGACTCGAAGTGGCGTCACCCAGTGCCGCAGTCAGAGACGGTTGTTGATTCCCTCCAACTATCTAAGACCATGCATGTGGTCCGGTGTTCGATTTCTGACAGGCGTACACCTTTACCTCCCTTATACGACTGTGAGCCCTACAAAGATAGAGAAGGTTGAGTGTGAGGCTAGCAACCCCATGCCAGAAAACATTACTGTTCCAGAGGGAATATAAAGACATAAAAACAAAATACAACAGTAAGAGAGACAAAGCTTCAGTATAACTGTGCACCTCATATCCTTTCTCGGCCTTCCCGCAAACATAAACTAGTGGTCTTGTTCAGCTATCAGCGTCTTCATATAGTTTAATCACTGTACTATTACCAATGATATATGCCGTTATTTAGCCTATTCACTACCTATTTTACAGCTAGTATGCGTGTTCAGGGCACATGGGAATCAAGTAAGCTAGTCATTATCCTTGTTGTAAACGTCGATACTTTATTTACTCATCTTCTGTTACGTCTATATATGTCCAAACCAGGTTCACTTTTGACAGTTTGAATTAAAAAAATCAGGTAGTGGGTTTGTGTGATATTCATTATTATTAAAGATCTTTTTGTATTTCCCAATGTGAATGAAAAACAAAACGGTGTCGTTGTTTGTACTGGCATTTCGCCAATGAATGCTGCTGCTAATAGCTTTATCATAGTGGTAGTATTATTAGACCAAAATTTAAAAATCTCAGCCTGCATTATATAGCAACTTAATCATCCTACATCATCATGGGGTTATCTTTACCTTGTCAAGTTGTTCACTTGGTGAAGACAACAACAAGACCATGTGTAGATTGTTCGATTTGATGAGCGTATAAAATTACAAAATTGCCTATCACAGTCGTGTTGATTGATTCTCTCATTTCATGGAGGAGGGAGAATCGAGTGTTGTAACCACGTGAAATTCTGTTTTACTCCCATCATTCCTATTCAGCTCAGACCATTTGGATTCCATTAGGCATGATATTGCTTCTGATGATATTAGAAAATCTTTATGATTTCTGAAATGCTTTTTCTGGATTATTTTGATATTGGAAAAATCAATTTCGTGACCTGATTCTTTAGCATGCACACATGTGGCTGAGGATGTTTCTTGAAGCTTTTCTATTTCAACTGGTTATCTCGGTGGTCGAACAGACACTCAGTCGACGATGTTCATTTCTTCTGATTACTTCGGTTTCTTTCATGTGAGGTTTGTCCTATGTATATCGCATCGCATCACGTTGCAAGCATTTTATTTTGTAGACGCAAATACATTGAGAATGCTTAGGGATTTGGTCTTTCATATGTACAATGTTAGTGTGTGTGTATGTGAGTGTTATGTTCTGAAGAAAACTCTGATGTTGTGCCTTATTGAGTACCCTTCTCTTCTGATATCCCCCTACGTATATGATGATCTGCATGGAATGACAACTGTTGACGCCCATATCTGCTGCGCGTACTGAGGTTGTCTGCTTACACACAAGCACAAACACGCGCACAAACACGGACACACTCACAGATACGCCCACGCACTACATTCACAACATTCGGAGATGAAGTGCACAGAACAACCAAAATGCTACCTTTATCTTTTTGCTTTTTATGATTTTTCTCATCAACAATGATGTGTGTTTTTAAGTGGTTTCTATATTTTTTTTTGAAGGGAAGGAGTGGCTTCTTAAAAAATTGATAAAGTTAATTTCAGTAATCACTATTTTCACTTACTTAATTTGACACAAACTTCTCGCATATTTTGTAATTGACTTCTATTCAGCAGATTTAGTTCATTTTGATCAACGGATGGAGGGATTAGATTGAATTGTCTAGCAATAGTTTGAGCTTGCTTTAATTAGAGAGAAAATAAATCAGAAAATTAAAATGTGTAGAAGAAAATTATCTGTTTAGAGAGTGTAAACCATTTTGAGCTAGTCGGGTGTGAGGACAAATACTCGCCACCGAAGACATTGGCTGGCGGTCGCGCTATGTCGTGAATTGGCAAAAAGTTAGAATTCAAGGACCATTGGATCGGGTCCCAGTGGCTTAATGGTATACGAGCTCGCCTTGTAACCGGAAGGTCCTGGGTTCGAATCCCGGTGGGCGCGTACTGCTGAAGAGTCCCAAACTAGGACGAAACAGCTGTCCAGTACTCCCAGGTTTTCCAATGGTTCTCTAACTGATGTCAGCTCATGATGAAATCCTGAAACCAATCAAATCCCTGCAAACCAACACTTGAATACCATTTTCACAATGTTCATGTGATGAAATGAAGAAAAAAAGATCAGAAGTGAATTTCTCAGTTTCTTCAAACAATTTCTTTGTACGTTAAACTTCAGTTGTACAGTTATTGCAGTAATCATATCACCACATATTACATATATTATACCCTTAGGTCCTGAGTGGGATATATGGCTTCAACAACACGCCTCCACCTTGTTCTGTACTCTGCTGTCATCTTCGGCTGCCTGATTACACGATTGCCCATAATATCTTATCCACTCTTCCCCACACAACCTCCTCCATGTCACTATCGGACACATTCCCAACCCATCGTTTCCCACCCTGACTCCACTAGAGCAATAGCCTGCATTGTGAGCGACGTCATTAGACGGTCTTCTCGGTGTATGCTCATTCTATCTCCATTCTCTTCTGCATATTGGTTGAACAATCTGCCCTTCGTCGAAAGAAATTTTTGTGACTAATTCTTTCTGGTTGCCATCCATTTGATCTTCAGTATGCAGTCAACCAGCGAAGTGAGTAGCTCTTCATGAAAATCTTCCGTTGCTCAGTGGAAATGCTTTCGTGAGGCGAGCTGACTGACTGACTGACTTCACATCTTGTTGTTAAGGCTGAGGTGAGGTGCAGAAAATTTCCAAACTGATTTCAGATTGATGAAGTTGTATCTCACCTTTCTGATCCTGCTTTGATATCATCATAGAACCCTATGCAGTGGCTCAGTGACTCTACGTTCTCGCCAGACTTGTAACAAAAAAGTCCTGGGTTCGAAACCTGTCGGTGGGCTTTTTTACTGATTAAGTGTTTCAAACAAGGAAGAAACAGCTATGCAGTACTCACTGGGGGTTTTCCAATGGTCTTCTAACCGATATCAGCTCATGATAAAATCCAGAGACCAATCAAGTCTCTGCAAATCAATACTTGGATAAAACAGTATTCCTTGTTCCACATCAGGGTTACACATCACCGGATTCTACCTTCTTTTCATAACCGCACTGACGAATATATAGTCTTCCTTAATTGATAGTTCAACAGCAATTTACTTCTCAGCTTAACAATTCTTTGTACTACTGCTGCTTACAGCTTCATTGTTTATTGACACCTGCATCATGAAATTACGTATTAGACCTCAGAATCATTGCATGATATTAGATAAACTAAATTGTTTTATTTAATCAACTTCACAGGATCCTACAACCGACGTAAGTTTTTCTCCTGGATAATTCCAGTACTCTAAAGAAGAGTGGGGAGGAACAATGAGGACTGTAAATATCAAGTTTCGAAGTCGTGTGTGTTTGTAAGGTTCTGATTGATGAAGTGCTTATGAAGAATAAATTATGTTCAAAATGTCATCCAGTAAATAGTACCATTTCATATATCCAATAAACTAATTATTATTATTATTATGGAATTAGGTTTAGGTTCAATGGTCAATATTCAGTTGATTTTAAATCCTTTTTGAACAGCTACAAACGAAGCTACTTAACCGCAACTTCTAACGTCCCTGGAACTAGAAGAAAGACAGTTTCGAAAAACGGAATTCTCTCCTTCGTTTGATTCAATCATCAGTCTCGTATAAAAATAACAAAATGTTATAATTACTGAATCCCAGTTAATTTTGTCTGCTGACATTTATTATATATGTTTTTTCCAAAAAAATGTGATATAAGTGTTGCTTTACACATCAGTTAAGATAAATGGTGATATTTTCAAGTATTGGTTTTTGTAGGGATTTTGTTTGATTGCATGGGGGATTTAATCATGAGCTGACATCATCTGATGCTCACTAGTGACTGGCCTTATTCAGGCAGTTAACCTGGGGTTCTAGTGGGAAGCCATGACCAGCAGGGTACAGCAGGTTGAAGATGAGGCAGTAACTCATCAAAGCAGAAGACATTGCGAAGTGGTCGCGCTATGTCGTGAATTGGCAGAAGTTAGAATTCAAGGACCATTGGATCGGGTCCCAGTGGCTCAATGGTCTACGAGCTCGCCTTGTAACCAGGAGGTCCTGGGTTCGAATCCCGGTGGGTGCGTACTGATGAAGAGTCCCAAACTAGGACAAAACATCTGTCCAGTACTCCCAGGTTTTCCAGTGGTTCTCTAACTGATGTCAGCTCATGATTAAATCCTCCATGCAATCAAACAAAATCCCTACAAAAACTAATACTTGAAAAAAAGAAGACTTAATTTGTCTGTCTGATTCACTGGAACCTAAGAGGCGAGATGACGCGGGCTGGTGAAAGATTTCCAAAAGCCAGTCAGCCGATGTGTCTTCTCTCGGCGAAAGCAACAGTAAGAATGGGGATGCGGAATGTACGGACAGGGAAGGCTATCCAGCTAGTCAACATAAATGAGAAGATATGGTATACAAGTACGCGGAATCTGCGAAAGCTGGTGGAGAGTCATTCACCCATACGACAACGACGAGCGCACTGAGGCAGCCGGTGGCTATCAGGATATTACCAATAGTTTTAAGCTTTATTTATCGAATCAACCAAAGAGAATGTCTGTAATGAGAATGACTTAAGAGCTGTCCAGTCATATATCTACGAAATTCTACTATCACCCCTATGACAACGAATAGGAGAGAATTAAAAATGAAACTATAAAACGAAAGTTTCGAAGTTGTGTGGTTATAATTTATGAAATGATTATGAACAATGCGATAAATTGTGTTCGAAACTTTGTCATCCAGTGCCTAGTAATACTGTTTCATCACTCTGTGTAATATATATATTTAATAAAAAGATTTAATGTGAAATTTCATACTACCAAAGTGCCTAAGTTCTATATGTTCATTAACAGCGCATATAGACATGAAGTAACACGCAGCAGCCTACCCATTTTCACTGTGTAGTAGACAGTAGTGTATGGAGAAATAAACCAAATAGATTAATCATACTAAAGATCAAATGACCAGAAAGAATCACCAGCAAATAACTCTAACTGGCTACAAACCAACGACAGTCGATTGCTAAATGAAAAATAGGCAGGAGAAAATGAAAATGGATTGGGTATACACTGAGGACGCCTTCGAATGACATTGTGCGTAATGCAGCCCATCACTCAAGCGGAATCCGAATGAAAAGTGACGAGTGTGTCGTACTTGAGTGACATGCAGGAGACTGTCTGGTCAGAAGGAGATGACAGATTATGGGCAGCCGGAAGGTCAGCCAGCTGAAGAGACAGAAGAAAATAGAATGGAGTACAGATGTATTGTTGAAGGCGTATGTTTCACTTAGCCTTCAAGGAAACAACAATAGTAATTATAATACACACAATAACTTTAAAAAATAAGATAGATAAGCATCCACCTACTTACCATAATTTCACATGGTAACCATTCGGATATCCCCCAGTAGAATGTCCATCCAAGATGGATAAGATGTGTACAAGTTCTGACAACTTCTTCAACTGGAATCGATGAGTCCTTTTGACGTGTTACAATCACAATATCTACATATTCAAGTTGAAGTCTTTCTAATGAAGAACGAAGACCTAATTGAACAAAAAGTAAGAAAAATAAAAATAATAATATTGGCTTTTTAAGTTAACGTTCTGAGAAATATGGAGACTTTACTAACCTAACAATTTTATGATTAAGACTGACATACACTAACTTCTCGTTTTATGTAGAGGTTGCATATAATCGTGTTAAGCGTGTTTCTTAATAACTGATTTCTCTTGATTCCCTTTCCTCCTACCTAAATACAACGATAATTACGGAACACGATTTAAACAAATAGTTACTAGTGTCCGATTGAAATATCCACTACAGTCCTATAGGAGGTTACAGCAGGTCGAAGATGAGGCAGTAACTCATAGAAATGGTCGCACTATGTCGTCTGTTGGCAGAAGTTAGAATTCACGAGCCATTGGATCGGGTTTCAGTGGGTCAACGGTCTACGAGCTCGCCTTGTAATCAGGAGGTCATGAGTTCGAATATCGGTAGGTGCGTACTGCCGAAGAGTCCCAATGTAGGACGAAATAGCTGTTAATCGTGACAGATAGATAGATAGTTTGACAGACAGCTAATCGATACTATGTGACCCTTTTGTCGCGATTATTGGCTAATTTAATGTATCTCTCACCACCTGATGTGACCTTAAATGTTGTTCATTTCCTGTCACTCTACTGTGTGTATATGTAATTAATTAACTGTTCATTTTGTCCGTTCCTTCAATACTGTTCGGTACGTTTTTGTCTTTTCTTGAGTGACAATGGATTTGTGCTTTTCTTGGTGTAGTTGTATGCTTTGCTTTATGTTTTAGAAACAGATAAAGTTTAAGTCAAGTTACTCTGTTTTTAAAACTATAGTTAAGCCAGGACTCTGTATGGTCAGTACTGAGGAAGGACTAAATCTGTAGGCAAAACTAATCCTACAATGGATGCTCAGTACTCCCAATTTTTCCAATGGTTCTCTAACTGATGTCAGCTCATGATGAAATCCCCCATGCAATTGAACATGATTGAAACAAATACGGGCCTTCGATAAATTTTCATCACGTTTCAAAATTACATAAGAAATATTAGTCATAAACAATTGAATTAATATGTGATCACTAGCATATGTAGGATCAGAGTTCAGGTATGTGAATTAATGGATAACAATCGAGGTGACCACAACAATAAGAAGGATAATAGCAAAAAGGTAAATTCATTCAAGTGCTTATATAATCTAGGCAACTGTGAGTGTGTGTAAGTAGAATGTGCATGCTATTAGAAGTAGAGATGAAAACAACTATTGTCACATGGCGATTAGATAATATAATAATCACGAATATAAATCACGAATTAGTAGAAGTTAGAATTCACGAGCCATTGAATCGGGTCCCAGTGGCTGAATGGTATACGAGCTTGCCTTGTAACCGGAAGGTCCCGGGTTCGAATCCCAGTGGGTGCGTACTGCCGATGATTCCCAAACTAGGATGAAACAGCAGCTGTCCAGTACTCCCTGGTTTTCAATGGTTCTCTAACTGATATCAATCCGTGATCAACCCGTAAAATATAATAATAAATTGTAATGAATTGTGAAACCGAGAATAAAATGTACAACTACATCACAGCACAGCATGATATTGATAATACAGATAGCATTACAAATAAAATAGAAACAGTTATCCGGTGTCACCGGGAGAGATAACTATTTTAGATTGAGGGCGAAGGCCAAAGGAAGAAGACATATTAGACAAATTTTTTTCTGAACACAGAGATTGATTTGAAAAGTCACTATGGCAACTACCTCAGCTGAGATTAGCAACTGAAGACGTACCAATCCAGGGAGGTGTGGTGTGACACCCTGAATATGATTGTAAGAGCTAAAATTTTTGTCAATCTTGTGCTGCATATCCACTAGGTATGCCAGTGTGAAACTTCCGATTGACTTTATGACTACTTTACCTAACTTACCAAGTTGGATAATGTTCCGAAAGGTGACGATGGACTTTCCGAGTCCTTCTAACCATGTAACTATCTCCATATGGACAGGTAAATTTATAAATGCATATTAAAGTGTTTTCACGAGTTGATCACGGACTGATATCAGTTAGAGAACCGTTGAAAAACAACAGGGAGTACTGGATAGCCGTTTCATCCTAGTTACTTTGGATATCATCGGCAGTACGCACCAACTGCGATTCGAACCCAAGACCTTCCGGTTACAAGGCAAGCTCGTATACCATTCAGCCACTGCGAGCCGATTCAATGGCCAGCTCATGAATTCTAACTTCTACCAATTCGGAAGGTCTTGGGTTCGACCCCTGGCACTGGGTGCGTACTGCCGATGATTCCCAAACTAGGCGGATGAAACAGCAGCTGTCCAGTACTTCCTGATTTTTAATGGTTCTCTAACTGATATCAATCAGTGATCAACTCGTAAAAACATTCCTTTCAATCTGTTCTCCTTATCAAGACTTCAACAAATTTTTCGGTCTATCGGTTTTCGTGTAAAAAGTTTTCTATTTCCTTATTTCATCGTCAAAAGTGTCGGTTGTGTAGATTTTTCTAGCATGACGCAGTAAGGTACTGATAAGATTTCGTTTGTATGTAAGAGGAACAAATGTGATTTGAAATGGGTGTATTGGCCAACCCATGACTCCTGTCTTAATACTGCCATCTTGCCTTATTATTTGCACGACATCAAGAAATAATAAGCTGTTGTCTTTTTCCTTTTCATATGTGAACTCACTTTGTGAGTGAGCCATAGTGAACGTTTGGTGAAGGAACTCAGCAACAATTTTGTTATGGAAGATAAAAGTATAGTTCAAAATATTCACAGTAGAACAAGAGTTTTTGATGTGGTTTTGTTCTCTGAGCTGGATGGTTAGTTTGCGAAGCTTTCATCACCTTACTGGATGACATCTTCAGCGCATACTTCAATTTGAAGATGTCACCCAGTAAGGTGATGAAAGCTTCGCAAACTAACCATCCAGCTCAGAGAACAAAACCACATCAAAATCATCCACCTGAGCTACAAATCTTCTCTATCATATCTGAACAAGAGTTTGTTGATTGTGGTTTTAAATGAACGATTACCCAATTTTGCCATAAACATTTCTGCTAAAAGGAGAATCTAGAGGTGATCCCGTTACTACGGCCTTCTCTTGACCGTAAAATTTGTTGTTAAACTGAAACTGTTCATTCACCACACAACGGAGTAGCAGATGCCGTAGTGTTTTAGGGTGGTATACCAATGTCCATATAATTTTCTATGATGTGTTCTCCTCTGATTTCATTCATCTCCTCCTAAATTGTAACATTTTCCCTCGAAAGTTAATTCACTTTCATTGGGATGTGGATGTGGATTCGTGCAACATTTTTCCCGAAACTCCTCCCTACACTTTGAACTATTTTCGTTCTGAATCACCAAGGCTTCTAGAAGTACATAGTCATACATAAATGCAGTTTAACTCTAATGTGATTATTTTCCTCAAGTATTTTCTCTGACTGGTAATTGTGAAAAGTAGAATTATTCGAAGCATAAATTCCACCAGATCCTAAACCTTGAATGTCATAAATCAATGAATAGCATAAATAAATGTCGCCTTAATGATTTCCTGCGTTTAAACAAATCGGTAACCAGATTAGGTTGTGTTTATTCATATAGCTTATTATGCTATTCGTTAGCTGTGTGATAAAGTCGCAGAGAGGAAGTTTATGAACAATACAGATTTATGGTATTTGTCTGAAGCTTCCGCATTATTATTATTGCTTCCTTGGGTTCCTAGTGGAACATACGGCTTCAACTGCACGTCTCCACTTGCTTCCGTCTTCCTTCTGCTGTACTTTTCACCTGCATCCATGTGAGTCCATACTGTTTCAACTCCTCAGCTCTTCACACGATTTCCTCCATGTCACCCTGGCACCGACATCCCACTTGCCGCTTCCCTTTCGGCCTGGTTCCACTCGAGTAATGGCCTCACGCGCGATGTCACTCAGTGGCGGCCTCCTCAGCGAGTGTCCAATCCATCTCCACTTTCTCCCTCCTGCATATTTGTTGGCTGGCAATTGGTTCTTGTTTTTTTGCTTGTTCCCATAGTGTCTAGTTGGTGATTCTTTCCGGCCCGGCCATCTGATTGATTTTCAGTACAGAGCGAAGGCAGTTGTTGATAAAAGTCTGCAACAGGCTGTTGGAAATATTCTTTGTGACCCACGCGCCAAGTTTCTGATACGTACAGAAAAACTGACTTGACGTTGTCTGCATTGAAAATTCAACTGGATTTTGTTGTTGATGCTGAGTGACGAAGATTTCCAGATTGGTTTCAGTTGGTTGATGAATGTGTTTCTCTCCTTCCTGATTCCCGCTCGATTCGACATCCTCTTCCGTTCCTCCTGCAGTTGAGACAATGCTCCATAGATGATAAGTGAATGAAGTAACCTCTTTCAAATCCCTCCCGTTGATGGTGATTGACGCTGGATGTTGCTGCTGTTGTAGTTGTTGTTGGTTGGTTATTTTCATAACCTCCGTCTTGTCTATGTTCACCTGGAGTCCTGTCTTCGTCGACTGCTTCTTCGATTAGTTTGTCGGTTTTCGCTTGTAAGTCTTTGATTTTGTGTGACATCAAACATAAATCATCCACACGCGAAATCCAGGTCTTCTAGGTTCTTCGCGTCAATCCAGGATATCCCTGTCTTCTCGTTTCCCACCGTCCGACACATAATCCAGTCCACCACAATTAAGAATGTCATTGGTGATAATTACCACCCTTGTCTGACTCCTGTGTTTACTCCAAACGCCTCGCTGAGTTTACCCTTGTTGATCACTTGACATGTGCCATTGTCGTACAGCTACCTGTTGAATAAGGTTGATCATTATTTGAGGTACGCCGTAGTACTCGAGTAGTTTCCAAATTACTTCGCGGTCAACGCTGTCTGTCGAAGGCCTTCTCGAAGTCTATAATGTTGAGGTAGAGGTTTGATTGCCATTCCATGCTTTGTTCTGTGATGATGATGCGTAGAGTTGCAATTTGGTCAGTACATGATTTGCCCTTCCTGAATCCAGCTGGTTCTGGTCGGAGCTCTGTCTCCAGTGCGTCCTTTATTTTCTCCAGGATGATGTGACTCAGGATTTTATTTGGCGTCGACAGGAGCATGATTCCTCGCCAGTTCTTGCGGAGTGAGGCGTAAGTCACCCTTCTTTGGTAGTTTCACGAGGTAACCTTTCCTCCAGTCAGTAGGCACATTTCGCTCCTTCCAGACCGTTTTTAATAATGGAGTCAGCATGTCTGCTGTAGTCTCTGGGTCCGCCTTCAGTGCTTCAGGGGGTATTCCATCTGGAGCAGCTGCTTTTCCAGCTTTCAGAAGCCTTTCCGATTCCAACTGACTTAGAAATATTCATCTGATCTTCTGACCTGTGTTTGAAACGATGCTTTTTGGCCAGATAAGTAAAGGAAGTCACCCCTGCCAAATTTCTCCTGTTGATGATAACTGGTGCTGGTTTTTGTTGCTGTTGCGGTTAGCCGGTTACCTTCATTTTTGTTAGTGTTTGCTGATTGGTTGATTTTCTTCATCATCTCCGTCTTCTCTGTGTTCACCTGGAGTCCTATCCCCGCCTTCAGCCAGTTAATTGGTTTTTGCCTGCCTGCCTGCCAGTCTTCTTGCGAGTCTTCGAGCTTGTGTGACGTTAAAACCCAAATCATTTACACACGAAATTTATATCTTTTAAAGTCTAGAGTCAGTTCAATGTATTCATGTCTTCTCGCTCCTTACGTACAGTGTGCCTCATAGTCCAGTACACCACAGTTATGAACATTATCTTCGGTGATAAAACGCAGCCAGTCGCGGCTTAATCAAGTGAATAAACTACAAATTACAAATTTACGGTTTACTTTTTTTACTTGATTTGTGATGCCTACAATTTCATCATTTATTGGCAGTTTTATTGTTGTATAAATGACAAATCCGTGACATTTTTAAATATCCTTTTCAACTCTGCTGGAGTTTGTGCATCGGTGGCATAGTGGTTAGAATTCTCGCCGACCATGCACATGATCCGAGGTTTGATCCCCTACCGACGCACATCTGATATCTATGGTCAGCCTGCGAAATTTGGGCTACCGATAATATCACATGCTGAAAATTACATACTTGTACCAAAGATACAGTGTGGAATCAAGCTGTAATCAAAAATAAAAATAAAAAAATATCACTCACCATCAGCCTGATAGTTAGTGACTCTGACTGTGAAAAGAGGAGTTATTCATGTTGTCAGTATTAGCTTAGATAAAACACAAATAAGCACACTACACAATGTAACTTTATACGCTACAGTCTCGTCATTTGATACACTCCTGTGATACACTGAGGACTATTCAATGATGTAAATCCTTTTTTCAGTCAACTAATTTTATTTAAGAACAGCGAGTTGAAATTGAATTACCTCAATTTATTTCTCATTCAGCTCGCATTACAAATGACATTACCATCATCACACAGAGTGTATAAAATAGATAAATGCATGCAAACTATGTGAATTTACCTTCGAAAAGATGCTTTCTCGACAGTCCTTGTTCTGTTTGAGCACTGAAATACACACAAAAAGGAATATGAAGTGAACACTTCAGAAGAGAGACAAACTTTTGTGACAAATAAAATTTGGGTTAATTTCGAAAAGTAGAACAATTTCACTTAACTCAGCTTGAAGTTTAGGTTCTTTGACAAGGATATTGTGGTCAAACTTGAGAAAGAGATCAAATCCCTACAAATGATCTGTTGAAAAATTATTCTGATGATCGCAAACTACTGGCTTAAGGAGAGAGTTTCTGGTGTTCATGTGTGAAATCATGACCAGCCGGGTCCATCCTGTCGGGAGTTTGGACAAATTCTAGCCAATGATGACAATGACTAGTTGGTGGTCACGCCAGAATAACGAACTGATAGAAGTCAGAATTCATGGACTGGACATTGAGGAGTTGGTTCCCGGAAGCCTGAATAGTCTACAATTTTGTCTGATAACCAGCAGGTCTTTGGATGCGTGCGTACTGTAGATGAGTCAGTTTCAAACTAGCAGGAAACAGCTGGCTATCCAGTACTCCAATTCTGGTTTTGAATGGTCCTCTGACTGATATAAATCCGTAGTCAAACTTGAAAAACAAATCAAATCCCTACAAATCGACTCTTAAAAAAGTTAATCAGATTAGTTACAGGATTTCATCACCAGCTGACATTGGTTAGAGAACCTTGGAAAAACCTGGGACTATTGGACAGCTGTTTCGTCAGCCTAGTCTGGGACTCTTCAACAGTTCGCACCCACCGATACTGTTCGAACCCAAGGCGAGCTCGTATACCATTAAGCCACTGAAATCCAATCCAGTGGCCCATGAATGCTAACTTCTGTCAATTCACGACATGGCTCACCTCTTAGCCAATGTCTACGGCAAGTATTTCTCCTCACACCCGACCTCCTTCACCTGGTGGTCACGACTTCTCACTAGAACCCTAGGTAGCTATCTACCTGACTAGGACAAGTCGCTAGTGTGCATCTCATCGATATTTTGTGGCAGAATTAGTTAATTGAAAATTCGTGATAATTTACATCTAAGATAGCGTTTCCCAGCGGGTTTTGCTCAGTGTGAGCAGTGTTAAATATGCTAATAAAACGTCACAAATTCGGTTTTCTACTCCTTGCACTAAGATGTAAGATCTATGATAATTGAAACTGCTTCAAAATTACAACTAATTTTAATAACAGTTAGATGACACAAGAATTTGGAATGCCTCATTAAAATAGCTTCCTGTTTGTCCTACGTTTTCAGGTAGTAAAGAATTTTGTTTGAAATTCACAACTAAAAACCAGAGACCGAAATCTGTCCAGTCAGTTAGTCAGTCAGGTGTGCGAACAATTAAGTAACATAATGATTCAAATGTTGGCCTACAGGGATTTGAAATGATTGGTTACAGGATTCCATCATGATCCGACATTAGTCAGACAGCCCCTGGAAACCTACCTGGGAGTACTGCACAACCAGATGTTTCGACAACCACGTTTGGGGCTGACTTTTCCACAGTAAGCACCAACCGACAGTGTTCGAACTCAGCACCTTGCGGTTAAAAGGCCAGCGAGTTAGTATACCATCAAGCCACTGGGACCCTCTCCACCTATCAGTGCATGGATTCCTTCTTCTGCCAATCCACGATACTACAGTGAGACTGGCAGTAGCTAGTGTCATCTTTGACGAGTATCCCTCCACAGACTCGACCTGCTGTACCCCACCAATTAAAACTATTCACTAGAACTTACGAAACTACCTACCTACCTACCTATCTGAATAGGGCCAGTCATTAGTGTGCATCAGAGTGATGTCATCGACTTGTTATCACCATTTATCTTAAAGTAGTTTGATAACAATTAGGCCTAACTATGGCTAGAGAATGTGGATAAACAATTACTTACTCTCTACTATGCGACAGTCGTTGAGGTGTGCGAACATTTGAGTAACATTAACATTAATGTGTTGGTTTGCAGGGATTTCATTTGATTGGTTATAGGATTTCATTATTATCTGACATTGGTTAGAGAACCATTGGAAAACCACCACTACAGAGTGGTGGACAGCCAGCTGTTAAGTCAGCCTATTGTCGGACTTACTCTTCTGAAGTACGCATCCATTCCAATCCATCTATTCGAACCCAGGACCTTCTGGGCAAAGGACGAGTGAGCTTGTAGACTATTAAGTCACTGAGACTTGATCCAATGGACACTGCATGAATTCTAGCTTCTGCTAATTCACGCATGATATAGCGCGAATGGCACTTGCCAATATCATTTTTGGTAGAGTATTTGTCCTCACAACCGACCTGCTCTACCCCACTGGTAGAGCACAACTGCTCACTAGAACCCAGGTTACTGTCTATCTGAATAGGCTAAGTCACCAGTAAGCATTAGACTGATGTTATCGACTTGTTATCTATCACCTTTTATCTTAAAGTAGTTTAAAAATGATTAGATCTAAATATGACCACAGAATCTGGACAAACAATTACTTACTCTCCACTTTTTGACAGTCTGCAGCAAACAATGTAACTAGATCGTCTGAAAGAAAACATAAACACAACAGTTTAAGTTATATCCCTTATATCATCATCATCACACAGACATTAATTCATTCGAAGAATGCACAGCGATGTTTGTTGTAATACATTTTGATGTAGCTGTTTCCCGTAGATATGAATAGCCTACAAACTACTCTGAATAAGACGAAACATGGTGTGTTACTATGAACAATGGAAAGGGAAGGTATGACCAAAGGAAATAAAAGGCTTTTATCTCATTAAGTTATCTAAAGCATCTGCGTATATATGTAATTATAATTAACGTACTGAGTAGATTTATGCGTCTGCGGTTCAATGGTAGAACACTAGGCAACCATGCAAGCGGCCTGGGGTTCGATCTCATCACTATGCTGGTTTTATACCAGGCAAAGACGGAAGGTCGGGCGTAAGGTCAGCAACATCACCTCGTAAAATTAAACACCACCCCCTACACTGAAACTTTGTAGCCGAAGCTTGAAGCCCTATGTACCACTGTGAACTCATTATCGAGTACTGAATAATAATAACTAACTGTTCAGTCTCAAAAACTTCTTTCAATCAGTATCCGTCGATTACATATGCACTGACATGCTGTACTGTGCTGTAGCTGTGTCAACAGTAAGCTATTAGTTGGTCTATTAGTTAGAATACAAGGTAAGTGGTCATTCATTGTCCACACGAATACCGTCTAAAAAAAAATAATGAATATTCAACAGTCTCCAAATTAGTTTCCATGGCTTCAACTATTCACAGAAAAGACTGGTGAAATGATATTAGAACGCCTAATCCAAAACAAAGAGAAAGAGTGTTGATTTATTTAATCATTGTACAGAAGTTCTCCCTCGACAATCAGTGCTAATATTTGGTTGTCTAATTCACATATTCACACACACACACACACTGAATAAGATTTAGGAGGGGATATGTTTTGATTTCTAAAAATCCATTACTGAAAAGTAGACATTTCATAAGGCATATACCTTTATATGTCTGAAACCTTCCCATACACACACACACACACAAATTGATTACCTGAAAGGAGTGCATACCAAGCCTCAGTTAAAGTGTACTGGTAAACTGTTCAGTATACTGCATAAACCGCCCTAGAACTCTCTTTGTTGTCATAGTAACTGTCGCGAGATAATTGGAGACAAATTAATTTAGTTTCTGATGTTTATCGACTGACCTCGATCTCTTGATGTTTTTTCTAACACTGCCGTTACAATGACAAGTGATGGTGAACCAATTAGTCACAGAGCATTTAAGTAGTCATTGTATAATCTAGTGCTTATGAATTTCGGGAAATTCCACAGTCTCCCCTCGAACGAAGTTGAAGGTTAGAGAAAGAACAGTCTACGCATGATTTTTAGTCTTCAATAAACGGATATTAACGTTGCTAAACCTGTCAGTACTACTACAACTAACAGTAGTATTGAATCTATTTGGTTCCTTGAAATTGTACATTGATCAAAAATTTTGGCGGCCTGCTTAAAAGTTGGGCTACCGGAAACCTTATCAAACATACCGCATATAATTTTTCTGATTCAGTTTCTTGGAATCTAATAAAATGTGACCTCTAATAATTGTTGATATAAAATGGTTGGAGGCAGTCAGTAGAAAGTCATGCTCCACCTAGGTTTTGTGCTAGCTGTCACTCACCAGTTAACAAGGCAGGTGTATCTGAAACCTTCAGGGAACTAGTTACTAACTGGTGTCCAACCAAAGTATTCAGTATAGTCCCACAGGTGGTTGATAGCAGGCTCGAATAACCCGGCGGTAATATCTGTGACTACAGGTGGCACTGGGTGATGTGCGTTGGAATCTCACACAGGACGTGATTTCCTCCAAAGTTTCAGATATGCCCGCCTTGTTGACTGGGGAATGCCAACTAGAATGAAGCATTGGTCCTGGCATGGCTTTCTGTGGTCGATTCCCTACAACCATCAAATGTCAACAATTAACAGTTTAGCGTGTTGTCGAGTCATCCAGAATGGTGACCACAATGCAAACTTGACTGATCGATAGAATTCAGTCTGCACCAAAGATAAGACTAGGCACACACGCACGCACATTGCAGTAGTTACTAAAAAGTGTTCGGTCTAAAGTATAACTTCTAAAAGTATTGTTCACTCTGAAGATTATTCAAAACATTTACAACCTGCTGATTTGCAGGTTTATCCAGCTGGATGGCAATCTCTTCCAATACTCAAGATAACTGTTCCTGAGGGATGGTGTCCATGGGTGACAAAGTGTACTCCTGAATTTTTTTGGTAATTCACATTAAACCAAATGTCGTCATGTATTTCTCTAAGGAGACAAACAAGAGATATCATATTGAATGGATTCGCTATTCAGGTCAGATAGAACTGTGTCATACAATCTCCTGTCAATTGATGCTCTATTCGAACATCCTGAATGAAGGGAAAATGTCATGCAATCAACTTCGCTGAAAATTATATACGTTATGTAAACACTGTTCAGAATAGAGCTATTACTATTATTATTATAAGTATTAAAGAGGAATCGCATAAAAGAAGAAAAAGTTTTATTATACACATTTAGTAACTGCTTCGCTACTATGGGATGCGATCGACAATTGAACATCTCATCCAACAGTTATATGACAATGCTGCATGCCAAGTAATCCACAACGGGAAACTTACGGAATCCTTCAAAGGAAGGACGGGATTAAGACAAGGCTGGCTGGCTGGCTGCCTACTATCGCCAATAATTTTTCTGATCAAGGGCGGTAGAGTGGATAATGCGATAAATAGACAGTGAGATGGGCAACGAGAAGAGAGCCATAAAATGGACCCACATAAAATAACTTGGAGGATCTGAATTTCGCCTATGATATATATGTCTGATTTCCCTCAAGCTGGAAGATATGCAAGTGAAAAGTAACAAGTTGGCAGAGGGAGCATCTAGAGAAGATATGACTTCAGGTGGACATAGATAAAACAGAGGTGATGAAGATTCCTGACCAACATTAACAGTAACAACAACAACAGACAACAATCTGCATAAATGGGAGGAACATGAAAGAAAAAACCTCCTTCACCTACCTAGCTGGGAAGCATCGTTTCACCTACAGGAGGAACTGATCCGGATTTTAACTCCAATGTGAATTCAGTGCTATTCACCATATGAATCAGAGGCTTGGCCAGCGTGTCATAAAGAGCATCTCAAACAAACTACAGGCCTTCATCAACAGCTGTCTTCTCTCAATACTACCCAAGATCAGATGGCCAGAAAAGATCAGCAACAGTGATTGATCTCTGGGAGTGAACCAACCAGGAACCGATTGTGAAACAAATAGGCAGGAAAACATGGAGATGGATTGGCCATACTCTGAGGAAACCAGCAAGTGACATCACTAGACAAGTCATCGCTCGAGTGGAACGCAAAAGGGAAGCGGCGAGTTGGTCGTCACTGTGAAGGTGACTTAGAGGAGGTGATGTGAAGAGGAGATGAAAGCATGTGGGCAGACTTGGAGCCAGGTTAAAAAGATGACAGAGAACCGAACGCAATGGAGACGCGCAGCTGAAGGCCTATGTTGCTCTAGGAATTACAGGATATAATAATAAAACACATAATGATTTGCATGCTGGTTTCATACACACACGCACACACACTTATAAACTTGCCTCCAATTCTTTGTACTCAGAATACGTCCCAGAGTTCTCTCTGCTCTAAAACAAAATAAAACAATTTCAAGCGATGATGAACAAGGAAACTGCTCGAACAATAGTTCGGGCTATAAGAAGGTGAGAGTAAAAAACAAAAAAGAAAAAAGACATGGACAATAGGGATTAACACCCTGGCATTCTGCTACCAACTACTGGAGGATGGCTTTAAATAACAGTTTGTCTAATAAATTACTATTATTGTGGTTTGGAATAAAGTGATTGCACCAATATAATATAGGTAGTTTATACATTTGAATAAGGCAAGAACAACAGTGGTGATTTGTGCAGAATAAGACGGTACCATCTTTTTGTTTATTTCGTTGGCTTCTTGTCAACTGCTTACAGCCTGGAAGTTCTATATGATGTCAGTTGACATGAGGCTCCAAACTTAGTGAACATTGCTCAGAAGACTATGTCTTTATAGTTTGCGCAGAGGGAGTTCAGGTTTTAACGTTGTAAATGTATGCATAGAAACAATGGTAAAGGAGTCACGTAATAAAGACAAGTGGTGCATAGAAGTGTGAGTAAATAAAGATTTAGGTACTGAGTTCAACTCAAATCATGAGAGAAACAAGAGAGAGAAGCAAAATTACACAATAACAAAGTCGGTGGGGTGAAGTTGAAGCTAACCACTACCTAATCATATAAAAGAGAGACAGAGAGAATATAGACATCCAAGCATCACCCCTGAACCTTTGTCAGTCGCAAAAAAGAGCATTGAAATCTCGAAAATATAATGTGAATTGCGTCATATTGCGATCTGAAAACAGTTCAGGAGTTGTACAGATGGACAAAGATTGACTACATCACACAGATGAAAACTGTGTAAATTAACCAGCTCAGATTTAAAGTTGACGATTATCGGATGTCTTTATTCTCTCTCTCTCCCTTTCATTTGATTACGTAATCTTTCGATTTAACCTCACCCACCCCACCCCACACTTTGATAGAGTGTAATTGTGCTGGTCTCTTGTTTGTATGATTTGAGTTGAACTCAGTATTATTATCATTATTACCATCGTATGCATCCGTTGAGAATTCATTTTTGAATATAAGATCGACAAATGCATACCATGGTGATAATAATTATAATAGTAATAATAATCCCTTTAGTCTAAGCGATATTAATCACACAGAATCCGAATTTCGGCGTTACATACAAGCAAATCAAATAGAGGATGAAAACATCTAGTTACCAGTCAGGACAAAGAAAGACTGATGCCAACTGCTTCTTTCTCAACACATAAATAGGGTTTCAGGCACTTGATGCAGATTGCTTCAGACAAATTTGAGGAAAACTTGGTCTCTTATCCCTATTGATAATTTTAAACGATCTCGTGAGGTCCACCTCATGATTCCTATCAAAGGGATACCTAGTGATGGCACTATTTAGAGCATTTGTATACAAATTCACATTTATCTGCAAGAGCAGTTACATTGGAAGAACAGAAAAAAGGGTACACCTCCAATTTTATAAACATTTACCGAAAAGCCTACATATCTAGCTGGTAACATAGGCTTTCAACAGCGCCATCACTAGACACCTCCTTGACACGGATCATAGGGTGGACGTTGCAAGATCGTGTTCAAGGTGATCAATAGACAAAAGAGTTTAATTCTTCTCACGTTTGCTGAATGAATTTTATCATGCGTGAGAAACTCGATTTATGTGTTCAGAAAGAAGAGGTTATCGGTCTTTACTTACCCTGCCTGTTAACTGGATGTTTTCATTCTCACCGTTGGTTGATTGCGTAACTCCTGAAATTTCATTGTGTATGGTTATTATTATTCTTTGGATAAAGTGAAAACCATTGCTGTTATTACCAATGTATGCGTATATCGATTTTGTTGTTTAAAAACGAGCTCTCTGTGTATGTAAGTATGTTGAAATTGTTTTGGTACATAGACCTAATAATGTCTTAAGGCTGTAAGCAAGCAGCTGATCAGAAGCCATCGAAATAAACAAAAGGATGGTATACCATCTTGTATGCTGCACACATCACTACTGTTGTTGTTCTTGCCTTGTTGTTCCGTATTTCTACCTCGGTCTTACTAACTCATTTCTTTTTGTGTCACTTTTGTAATGAATGTTGAGGAGTTTAAATATATCCCACTTTGAGATTGTTTGAGCTTATCTTCAGCAAAGGTCTCATCAAATAATAATAATAATAATGATAACAATTCACATTCTACAAACCGTCTTATTTTATACGATGGCATTTTGTTTCACGCATAGCACAAAACAATTTCATTCACCTCATCCTAACCATATACAGAAACACCTTGGAAATGATGAACGTTAGACAGATGTGCCATTGGAGTTTTGAAAGCTTCAGAAGTGCGTACTTAAGAGCCTTTCAGTTGTCATTTCCCAACGTCAACCCATTAAGAGTGAGTCGAGTGAGTCTCTTCCATGTACTGAGTTCGAAATCAGTGGCTTGTTATCCAACTTTCTTTTGTTCTACTACTATACAGCATAATTCTTCTATTCACCTACAAGTAGTCTACTCGAATCGGAGTTATCTTCGATAGTCTAATCAATAAGCACCAATCTTCTGACTGTAAAATGTGTCTCCTTTCTATGGGAATCTCATGTTAACTACAAACAGTGAATAAGTCTGTGGAGACGTAGCTTTATAAACCATTGATCATTCAAACCATGTATATACATATACTTGATGATAAGAAAAACAAGCAAACAGTAAGTAAATATGTGAAAAACACTCCGAGGTGTTTGTTTGACTTACTCGCCATCTGAATATGCTTCTCCAGTTTCAAAGATATTGATTCCATGATTATACGCGGTGGTGACAATCTTTTCAGCCATCTAGAATAAGTAAAATGTTCGTCAACTAAACAGGGTTGAAGAAATTTTATTGGAAACCTAAACATCTCGTTATAAGTATTGTTTTACATTGCAGCTTTAAAAACGTGGATAGATGTTTTAAAAAGTGTACAGGCCACTCCACGGAAAGTGTTCTACACAACCCTGTTGTTACTATAACTAAATTCAAACATGAAATTCACACCCTACAGTTCTACATAAAGTTTATAATACATGATTTTTAAGCTATGAATATATTTACAAACCTTCTGCTGAACGCATCGGTAGTGCGCTAAAACAATTGTCGGAATGGAAAGTTCGTATTACGGGACTTCAGGTTTTGATTACAAATGAATTCCGTCACCTCTACTGAAAATTAATCTACTGAAGTTCGAGAAGGCAGCAGCAATTGATGAAATTCCTTGTGAACTACTGAGAACGGAGCCAGAGACTGTGGCAGATATACTGAGGCTATTTTTGCAAAAAGTTTGTAAGGAAAGAAAGGTGCCTACTAATTGGAAGACAGGCTGACATGTTAGATAACCAAAGAATTGGGGCTCAGGCCTCTGCAAGAACTGGTGCCAAATCATGCATCATTTTGGAGAGAATGAAAAAGATGCGATGGACGCAGAAGTCCACTAACCGGAACAAGCTGGATTCAGTAAAAGGCAAATAATGTGCTGATCAGATTGCAAGTCTACACATCACCAAAGAACATAGCACAGAGTGGCAGTCAAATAGCTCTCTGCTTCAATTCCATCCACTTTGTACAGGTCTTCGAACATCTTCTCTATATGACGTGTCAGGTTATCCACAGCGGAAAAAGGCATTTGAAGTAAAAACAGGAGTCAGACAGGGCTGGCTGGATGACTATTATCACTAATGATACTCTTTACTGCGGTGGACTGGATTATGCGTCAGACTGTGGGGAGCGAGGATACATGAATACACTGGACTTACCGATGAGAAGACTCTGAAAGATCTGGATTTCGCGTGTGAATGTTGAGTGTCACACAAACTTGAAGAATTGCAGGCAGGCAGGCAGGCAAAAACCAACAGATTGACAAAAGAAGCAAGCAGGTGGCGAAGACAGGACTCCAGCTGAACATAGAGAAGACGGGGGTGATGAAGATAAACAACCGATCAACCAACCAACCACCGGCAACAAAAATCAGCATCAGTCAATGTCAACACGAGAGATTTGAGAGAGGTTACTTACCTCACTTATCTCTGACTAGGAAGCATCGTTTAAAACTACAGTCCAGCCGATCGGAACAAGATTTCAAAGCCAGTTGGAATGACAAAGGCATGGCACATATTCATCAGTCTGAAACCAGTGAGGAAATCTTCTGTACTCAGCCACCGTAAACAACGAGATTTGGATTTCCAACATGAATATCAAGTCAGTCAACCAATTCTTCTATACAGGTCAGAAATTTGGCCGGCATTTCCAGCAGGCGACTGCAGACTTTTATCAACAGCTACTTACTTCGCTGACTCCATGCAGAAGATTGAATAGCCAGCTGGCCGGCCAGTCAGAGAGCATTAGGAACAAGAAACCTTGACTGGAAACAAAACAAACAAGAGCCTAATGCTCAGAGTAATGCAAAAGAGAATTGAGATGGGTTGGGCATACGCCAGTGAGGAGGCCGTGGATTGGGAAACGATGAGATGGGCGTGTGTCCGAGCGTGACATGCAGGGGATCGTATCGGGAGAGAGGCAGATGACAGATAGATGTGCGATCGTGAGGCCAACCAGAGGAAGAATACCGAAGAAAATAGAAGGAAGTAGAGATGAGTTGTTGAAGCCCTATGTTCCACTCGGAACCCAAATGGAATAACAATACTACTGTAACAACAGAAGACAAGCGCCAGGCAACAGATCGTTTTATTATGAAAATCAACACGTATTTATACATATTTCACATACATTATTATAGCTCATGCAAGTAGACAAGCGCAGTCATCTGATTGGTTGTTTATCAGAAGCTAGGTAGACAAACGCAGGCTTCTGATTGGTTGTTTCGGGATTCCTCGACAAATAGAGTCCTCTATCTGCGAATCATATTTTGCCACGTTAACTTTGCTGTGATTGGTTGTTGAATCAGCCTTGCTCATATTTTCTCACGGCCTGCTCTCACCACACTACTAATAATAATATAACAATTATTTTCAAAAGTCATAAAATGAAAGATTGTACGTTTATTTATTTATTACATGCGAAATGCATTGTACATTTTATCATACATGACAGCAAATGTGCAACACGGAATGTACACATTGCATCATAGGAATAATTAAAAAAAAAGGGTTGCAGCTAAGAAAATTTTTTTTTCGACGAAGTCATCAACTAAACTGTACATTAGTGTATTTAGAATAGTGTATGGGAAAATTCCAAATTAGTAAAATTACAATTAGGAATTAAAATGTCATAATAAACAGGGGAGGGGTGGATAAAGCTCAGACAAAGTAGCATCATAATTACTGAGAGGATTGACATATATTGTGCAATTAGGGGTTAGAAATGTAGAAATAACAAAAATAGACAAGATGTTTGGACAAAAAATCTAGTGGGAACATAACTAACGCAACGGATAATTGTTTACGCAATCAGGGATTAAATATGTAGAAATAATGCAATAACAAAATAGACAGGAAATTCGTATATGAAAATATGTTAGTGTAAATAGGGATTAGGAAAAACTTTAAAAAATAACATGAATAAACAGGAAGTTTACATAAGAAAGGCGATAGGATGGTCACTACTAAACAAAATTACCTGTTTATGATGGCCATGGCAGAAACAGGGGTCGGACGTATTTCTTCTGGATGCATAGCGTGGGTGTGAGCTTTTGGATGGCTAGTGCCTCGGCTATTTCCAGATGTCTTAATTTCAATCCCTTTGATAGATTTGATCGAATCTTATATATTGTTTTGAAGGATTTTTCGAATGGCTCTGACTAGCCTGAATTCATCAGGTGTTCTGTCACTGAATTATATACACGTTTTTGGTCTCCTTTTAGTAGCCAGGCTGCATGGTGTTCACGAGTGCGTTTTTCAAGTCGGCGCAAGGTACAACCGATGTATTCAGTTTCACAAGAGCAAGTAAACTGGTATATGCACGTTGAAGTGCCCAATGTGGCAGCTTGTCTTTCGCGTTCTGGCTGAACAGTTTATTGCAGGAAAACGTTAGTCGTAGGCTCGCGGCGAAGTATGTTTTCCTCAGAGATTTTCAGAGGCGTTTACGAAGGATTTCTGCTTCAATGTTACCTTTGAATTCTAGACTGGGCAGAAGTATTTTCTTCGGGACGGATTGGACTTGTTCAGAAGTCTTATTTGATTTGAGGTTCTTGTCTGTCAACCTAGGCGAAAAACCATTTTTTATCAGGGTTCTTCGGAGATTACGCAATTCTTCGCCAATCACTTCTTCGCTGCATACTTTCTGAATCCCCGAGGAAAGAGCTTATATCAGGTTCCTCTTTCTGCTTAAGGGAACTATGCTTTGAAAGTTGACGGACTGTCCATTTCGTGTAGGCTTTTTGAAGATGGAACTTTTCAGAGAGTTATTGTCGTCTTTTCTCAGATGGACATCGAGGAAGTGGAATATTCCGTCGGATTCAGCTTCAAAAATAAACTCGATGTTTAGGTGGGCGTCATTGAAGATTTGAAGTAGGTCTTTTAGATCACAGTTCTCATCACAAATAATGAAAGTATCATCAATATATCTCTCACGTAGTGATAGAGGTCATTGATAGTTGATGATGTGTAACGGCTCCACACATAAGCCTAAGTGACATTAAGAGATTGGCGCATAGTTAGTTATAGTGAGTATTATGCAGATACCTGTAAATGTAACGATGGTGGCTGAATATCCTCATAGCTGCTTGTAATAGCCTCAGACTACACCAAATCGACGACAGTTATTCTGTCATACAAGCACACGGCACAAAAATCTCAATATCACGTCATTACTGAACAGTGTAGCATTTGATAACTAATCCACAGATACAACAGTTTGCATCACTTTTATAAACTGTGATATTTATAAGATTAAACCAGTGTATTCAACGTCTCTACCTCATCTTCAAAACGCCTTCGACAGCATTGATTGACAGGTGATTTAGAAACTACTTCGCTACTTCACAGTGACGTCAACAATCATACACCTCATTCAACAATTGTACAACAAGACTGCATGCCAAGTAATCCACAAACGAGAAACTCACGGAATCCTTCGAACTGAAGACGGAGGTAAGGCAAGTTGGCTACCTACTATCTCCAATGATTCCTCTGATCGAGGGCGAAAGACTGGATAATACGACAAGTGGACAGCAGTGTGGGCAACGAAGAGACAGGCATAAAATGGACCCTCACGAAAAACTTAGAGGATCTCAACTTCGGTGATAATATATGTCTGATTTTCCACAAACTGGAAGATATGCAAGTGATGAAAAGCAACAAGTTGGCAATTAAAGATGCATCAAAGATGGGAGGAACTTCGAGTGAACATAAATAGAACATAGGTAGGCGATGAAGATTCCTGGCCAACAGCAACAGACAACAGACAACATTCAGACAGCATAAATGACAGAAACCTGAAAGAAACAACCTCCTTTATCTACCTGGGAAGCATCGTTTCAACTACGGGTGGACGGAACTGATGAGGATATCAAAGCGAGGATAGTGAAAGCAAGGCAAGCTTTCGTTTTTCTCAAGTCTCTGCGGAGAGCAACAGCACTCAGCATGAAAAATAAGATCCGGATTTTCAGCTGCAATGGGAAGTCAGTGCTACTCACTATACGGATCCGAGACTTGGCGCCACGTCAAGTTATGAATGGCAATTCGAACAAACTACAAACTTTCACCAACAGCTATTGCTGGCTAGAAAAGATCAGCAACAGCGACCTCTGGGTGCAAACTAAGCAGAAACAAATCGGGCAGCAAATATGCAGGAAGAAATGGAGGTGGATTGGCCATAATCTAAGAAAACCATCAACTGAAATGACACGTCAGGCCGTTGCTCGACTGGAGACTGAATGAGAAGTGGCGAGTTGGTTGTCAGTGTGAGAATGATATGGAGGGGGTCATGTGAAGAAGGGATGAAAGCATATGTGCAGACGTGAAGCAAGATGATGAAAACATTGGCGGAGAACCGAATGCAATAGGCTGAAGCGCTATGTTGCTCTAGTAACTCAAGGAAACAATAATTGTAAATAATAAGCACATTCAACTTGCTTTCAGAGTTATCTATGTTACTTATATTACAGACTTGACTTGACTTAACTTGAAGAGATTATTTATCTGTTGTCAATTGACGAAATCCTAATTGGATTTTAAAGGGAACAACATGTTAGGAATGCCCTATGAAAAGTGGTTGTGTTTCTGTGTCCCTGATCCACATGACTAATTGTTTAAATAGTTCTGATGTTATTACCTACAGGGGGAATTTCATTCGTCAACTATTTTCTCAGCCGGCTTTGTTTACATTCACCAGAATATCCTGTATTTAGTTATTTAATTCTACTCTCATATTGTCTCTGATTGTGTAGCATCCAAATTCTCAACCGTTCAATACAGTTTCACACAATCTTTACTCCTGGCCCTATTCAGGTAGGTAGTTACCTGGGTTCCAGTGGGAAGTCATGACCAGTAGGGTGCAGCAGGTCGGGTGTGAGGACAAATACTCACCGAAGACATTGGCTAGCGGTCACGCTATGTCGGGAATTGGCAAAAAGTTAGAATTCAAGGACCATTGGATCGGGTCCCAGTGGCTTAACGGTATACGAGCTTGCCTTGTAACCAGAAGGTCCTGGGTTCGAATCCCGGTGGGTGCGTACTGCTGAAGAGTCCCAAACTAGGATGAAACAGCTGTCCAGTACTCCCAGCTGGTTTTCCAATGGTTCTCTAACTAATGTCAGCTCATGATGAAATCCTGAAACCAATTAAATCCCTACAAACCAACACTTGAATCTTTACTTCTCTTATCTGTAATCTCCACAATTTCCAAACATTACCGGTCAGTATGTACCGAATGCTTGCAAAGTTGAAGTGGGTCCCACTGAGTCATATTAAAAAGGGAAAGGCGTTCAGAGAAGAGTTACTCTTCATTTCGCTGATTTCATTCTCAAGCTGCACAATCGCTTACATGCAGAC